TCACCCAGTTAGGCGAGTTAAGCCAGTGATGATCAGATGAAATGTTTATTAGTAGCAAAACCTGCAACATCTGATTTAGGAAAACAAGTCTTTGGTCAAAAGATTGTTTAATCTTAATCATTTAGCATCCAGTAAAATGCTTCTCAGTTGTTTAACCCTTCACCTTGTGCAGCAGAAAGCTGGCTCCAGTGTGCCCACAGGGACTAGCTCGCCGACACCAGCCACAAAATGTGAACCTGTCACATTCCCGTGGCCCAAGTAAGATCAACAATGAGAAACGCACCCGCCCAGTCAGGAGGGCATCATGAGTCACCAGCAGAGTATATGGGATAGGGACTGGTGTCTAGTGTAATCGTTTTTAAATAAAAAGCATTGTTCTCTAAAAAGTGCTCGTGTTGAGACCCAGCCAACACCCACATTCCCTTCTCTCCGTTGTGCCTGTACAAGTTCAAGGGCTTTCCGTGCACAATGCAGGGTAAACAGTGTGGTCTTGTCTGGCTGGTTCAGTTGGAGACTGGTGTTGTAGGCCCCCACTGAATCGGCTTTGTTTTCCCTGGAGTCTTCTAGAGGGGACCAGTGAACAAAATCATCCCGTCTTAAAAATGGCTGTGTTCCAAAAATATATTTTTCTCCTCCTTTAAAGCTGCCTTTGGCTTATCTGAAATGTTCTTCAGTTGCTGAAATACCAATTCATCCAGATTTTTTTTTGAAAATGTGTAGTTACACTGGTATTTTAAATATGCAGGTAAACTATGTTTAGAATTCAGAATCGAATAGCTGCTTTTTCAAGTATGAATCTGATTGTTATAATCCAGTGCAATAGGTTCAGTTCCTCCCATGTAGCAATGCTTGCAAAGTCCTGAATTCCAGTTGTACTTCAATGTATTCTTATTATAACAATGTACAACTGAAACATGGGAAACACTCCTTGGAATTCAAAGGTGTCTTTAATGTGCACAAATACCTCGTATCATGCTAACCGGGTGGCAGTACTGTATCTGAAGCTCCTTAGTCTCTCTGTTCTCTGCATGGACTGTGAACAATTAGAAACATTTTTTGCACCACGCGTCTCGTGAATGACTTCATTCAGTACAGCATCTTGCACTCTGACATTCAGCGCGTATTTCTCTGCGCTGTCATTTTAGGAAAGAATCTGAAGAACTGCCCTGCCCACAAATTAAAAAGGCAGAACTAATTAATGAGATCCATCACCACCCCCACCGCCCCAGAGCACACACCATAGCTGAGCTGCCCTGTCCCACCTGGGCTTCCCCTGAGAAGAATTTCCTCCGTGAACGAACCCCGGTGCGAGTGGCCCCAGCTCCACCACAGGGGGGATGGCCAGAGCCAGTCCTGCCTGCTGGGGGACCAATCACATCCCTCTCCGCCACGCGGGACGAGAAGAGGGCCAGGGAGGTGAAGCCAGAGCCCAGGTGGCTGCTGACTGAGCATCACTTTCTACACGTGGGGTTGGCAGGCAGGAGGGAGTGGCTTTTGAGAAATCTGAAGCAATTGGACGCTGGGCATACAAATATTTCATTCATCTCGTACTTTATGACTGAGTGCAAAACCCCACCTTTGAAATGTCAGAGATGCCCATTAGGAAATATAGTATTTTCTCAGTATTGACACAAAATGACATACCCACTCCAACACATATGCATAATAATAATAATCATATAATCACGTATAAAGTAATTTTACTTGGTAAAAATAGTTTCAGGAAAACAAGATAAACTTTCTCTCCATGTTGTCTCTTAAAGAGGCTCTGATTGCAGCCTGATCATGTCACTGACTTTCTGTGTTAAGCAGTCAACACATTTGTGGTTCTCCTGCCCCTTAAAATAATATCAGTGTTACTTATTACCAGTACAAAAATATCACACTAGTGTGTCACTGAAGTTACTGAAATCACTAGTTTGTGGGCCATGTAAAATCAACCATAACTGTTTTACAAGGACAGGTAAGATTTTTTTCCTGGTTTTCCTGGAAAATGAAAAGAGTAGAAAGAAATAAGGCACTGAAATTGAACACCAACTTAGCCTCTTGCTTGATGTTCTTTACTAACAACTAGCATAGCAGCAGATCAGTCGCTCTTTCTTCATTGGTCACCAAATCCATTCTGCACATTGTCTAAATTCCTTTCCACATTCTACCGCAGACAGCCATCGGTATCTGCGTCTGTTCCGTCTGAAACTGGGCAAATCCTGTACGTGAAACTTGCATCGATTTGTGTGCTCCCCTCACCTGGAATGAAATCAATTTCACCTTTTCCCCCGAGAAGCAGTTCTTCAACATACTCCTCGCAGCTCTGCACACAGGAACAATGCTGGAGTAGGCCAGGACAGCCAAAGGCAGAATTCCACCGACTTTGTCATGATGATTGGAGATGGGGAGGATGTGAAGAATTATTCTCTTAGCAAAGGAAAACAATGTGAAGAATGCTCGTATGGGAATCCATTGATTATACAGTAACAGGCATGATCGTGAAACTTTACTCTCGTGCTTGCTTGATGTACAGAGACTCCTCCTGCTTCCATTTGCATAGGAAAAAAAGATCATCTTTGTCTTGAGATATTTCCTTTCTTTCCCAAATACAGGAAAGGATTTATTACATATATCTGTCCCCAGCTGCAGGTCGTCATTGACAGCCACAGAAAATAGGATCCACACACACCCAGCAGAAGCAAACACAGCTTTGTGTGAGAGATGGATAGGCTGTTCAGGAGCGTCCCATTGTCTGAATTCTGCCTTTTTGTGCTTTTCTGTCCAGCATTTGCAGCTGTCTGAATTCATACATTAGCCAAGTCTGTTTTTGCCCACAGCAATGTTTACCAGCCATCATGCCTCTTGTGATGTCATGGACATCAACTTGTCTTTTCCTCAAGGCATGGTGTTCTGAGGAAAAAAACAGGTCTACTATTACTTTAGTCCTCAGGATAAGGGAGCCACCATGGCCTGGGCCATCATGACACATTCATTTCCCTTAACTAGCCAGATTTTTTATTTATTTATAAATAATATTATTTATGTATGCGGTTGTCAAGCAGTTTCAACCTATTTACATTAGAAACATTTCGGAATTTTGTACTGATATGTTTTTGTGATATATATAAAGTATGAGATTACATTTTCAGTTGATTATTTATAGAGTACATACTGATATTTCCTATGATGTCGTAATGATCGTATTGTTGCGTTAGTGTGATAAACGTCCCTGTGAGTATCCCAAAAGTAATAAGGCTGTGAGATTGTTTGCGGTACTAAATAAATTCTCAAAGCTAAACTCTGGCTTGTGAGCAAAATTCTGACACACAGAGAAACATGCCTTAGAGAAACGTCTGTGTTTTGCAGCAGTTCAGACCTGAGTCAAACACAGATTGTCCTTCATGAGCAGGAGTGCTGGGATATTCATTCTGAAGCCCGCATCTGGCTCCCCCTACTGGACAGGGCAAGAGAGTCAGAGTAACCACACAGAAGACGGAGGAGCAAAACTAGCACAGAGGACGAGACATTGAGTAAAGTTGCATGTGCTCTGTATAAATATGTGTAAGGGTGTGTGTATGTGTATAAATGTATTTGTGTATCTGTGAAAAGGTGTTTGTATACTGCGTAAACATTTATGTGTGAAAGTGTGTAATGGTGTGTATATAAACATTTACATGTGTGAGAGGTAGTGTTTAAGGGTGTGTACGTGTGTGAGAGTAAGTGTGTTTAAGGGTGTTTGTGTATTTAAATGTGTACATGTGTGAGAGTAAGGGTGTGTGTATTTAAATCTGTACATTTGTGAGAGTAAGTGTGTAAGGGTGTGTGTATATGAACATTAATGTGTAAGGGTGTGTGTGTATTTTAACACGGAGGTGTGTGAGAGTAAGTGTGTAAGGGTGTGTGTGTGTATTTAAATGTGCACGTGTGTGTGTGTATTTTAACACATAGGTGTGTGAAAGTGGGTGTGTGTGTATTTGTATATACAAGGCCAAGCAATTATTTTTTAAAATGTATTTCTGTTTTTGTCCTTTCATTCATATCACAGTTTAGTAGGAAGACTACTCGGTCTTGGTGAATATTTAAACAGTCACTGGCCAGACTGTGCACTGGAAAACAATTCAACCTTTTCTCATTAGCGATAATGTGAAATACAGTACATTAACCCTTCACCATAAGCTTCTTTCAGCAAGCAAGATGTCTGTTTCCCTACTAACATGTTTTCAGATAACTGATTCAAGCCTTTTTTTGTGATTCCTAGTTTCTGCAAAGACTGCAACTTTATTAAAGAGAAGTAACAAAGAAACAAGTCAGAGCTTGAGAGAGAAGCACAAATATTTAAGTGTAATATGAATCAAGAAGATTTCTTTTGCTCTTAGGGCCAAAATCCCACCTCTAGGCAAAATTACCTTGTTTTACAATACTCTGCTGTAGGCATGTAAAAACATATATATACCTCTCGGCTGAATTAATTTTTCATTTATTTTTATGGGTAGTGTTGGCTGTTTTCCCAGCAGCATATGCCTAAATCTGTCCCAGTAATAAAAATATCAGCAACCTTTTTTAAGACAATCATACAGTAATCAAAGGTTTGGGTACAATTCTCCTGTAGAGGCGGCTTATTGTAGATATGCCTTTCCTAGTATCATTAGGTAAATCATCTTCTAGAGAATTAGGTCAACTGCCTCAAATATCAAGACTCTGTCTTAGTAGAGACAACAACTCATTAGTCAGGTTCGGGGTCAGCTGGAGTCGCCACTCTGTATCACTGCACAGGAGTGGAGTGGAGCTTTCAGCACTTTCACTCATGGCTGGCAATGACGTGAAGGTATTTTTTATGTGCGAATCAAAATCTTCGTGTCCCTTATGCTTTGTCTGGGGTGATCGTTTCAGGAACAGCAATAGTAACAGAATATTCTGGACATGCTCAGTGTCTAATTTGCTTATATACCAGATATCCTGGTTAGGACCTTGACCATTAAATGATCCACCTCTGATGCCCCTGATCTTGTCAATTAATGGCTCAGCTATTCAAAGAACGCAAGATCTGATTAGCCGCTTCGTTGCAGACCAGCAGAAACTCAGGATTCTCTGTCATTTTCCTAGAGAGCCACATTTTTTTAATAGGCTTTTTTGCCATGGCTTAGTGGGTGTTTCTGGATATCTGGTTTGGGCTGTCCCTGGTGAGTTCTCTGCTCACCTCCCTGGGTTTCGACTATCACCACCAGAATGTGGCTGTCCCCTCCCTGGGAAGGCAGGGACAGCAGAGGCAGAACCTGTTTGGTGGGTCAGGTGGAATGTCATTTAACTGGCAGAGGCTGCCTCTGAGACACAGTTGAAAGGATACTGACCCGACAACATCACTGCATCCCTTCAGGACACTTGGCAAGACGCTTAAAGGTAAGACTGAATGCATCTTGACTTTACGAAAGCTTCACAAAACTATATATAGGTACAGAGAGAAGCATTCGTGCTCTCTACATGAATAAATACGTTTATCAAGTCACTTAATTTGAGTAAATGCCATCTATTAAAGTAGATATTTTTCCTAGCAGTGATATCTCTTCTAAATTAAGTGAACACCCACGCAGCAAGAGATGTTTTAATTTTCTAAAAGATGTAGCTATAAGGTTTTGGCAACTGTATTTTAAATGAGCAGATTCACATGAAAGTCATCACTTTTCATGATAAAGCACTCAATTCATGTAAAAGAGGTAGTGCTAAAAATAAAAACAGCTCAGCTAAGTCGCTATAGTTATACATAAATAAAACGTGACTGCTTATAAAGAGGAATGTGTAAAACAAGCATTAAAGATAAAAGGAAACTGTCTCTTACTGTTGCAGTGTTATTTTATTGCAATACTTTTAAGTTTTACTTACTTTATATAATTAGAAATGTCACTACAGAATAAATTCTCAGCTACCATTTCCTTAAGCCTCCTTGCTAAAAGACACAACAACAGCATCCAGGCTGGAGTTTGATCCATCAGCAGGCAGCAGTGAAGTCCAGAGTGCTAACGATTACTCCACCCTGGAGAGCACGTGCACTGACACAGACAGCACACTTCCAATTCCCCGATCGAATCTATTTGTATACCTCTAGGGGTTTCAGGAGGTCTGGGGATATATCCAATTGTACAAGCAGCTAGTAGTACTGCCTTAAGCAGAGCTCTGGTTACTCTTTATTCTGTGTATTCCATAATCCTATAACCCACAAGTCAACTTAAATAAGCTGAGCGAAAGAAAATCCACTCGCAGGTCATGACAGTAAAGGAAAGGAGAAGACAGAAACTCGGGACAGATAAAGAGCAAACTGCTTTCCGTTTGTGGCTGGTGAATGTACTGTATACTTGAAGGACAAAAATATCCCACCCCTGTCCACTGCTGCACAGCTGGGGGTCTTATAACATTGCATTGATTCATTGAGCTTCTCTGTTTAAAAAACATTTTATTGAGGATTCAGTAAAAAATGTAAATAATTATCTAGCATTTAAGGAACATAAAATAATAAAAAGAAATGTTTACAAAGGGAAATTGGAAGTATTGGAAGTGAGATGTTTTTGGTGAAATGTGTTCATTTACATAGTATTTATGTTAGCATCTGAAACTAAACATTTCAAAAGAAAGGCAGTTTGGAAGAGTTTAGAAATTGTTTCATTTTTCAAATGTACAGAAATATATACAGTATATAGGTTATTCTTGTTTTATGAAGAAGAAACGTTTCTGTATTCGAGCAGGTTAGTAATTAAAAGTATTAAATTCAATATCTTAATCATTGCTGTGTCCTAAAGTCACTGGGTGCATCTCATTAAAACTGTCAGTGTGGTAAAAATAGTTTCAATTTTTTACGATAAAAAAAGTCAATACTAGATCCTTTCGGGCAAACTATAATCATCAGCTCAGCTTGGTTCATCATATGACACTTCATCTGAATACAATAATAAGGAGCAGTGGGTGTGGTAGTGAAAGGTATGCATGGTACCTGGGCACACTGACATGAGCTCATACTTCCCCTCAGGCACTGGACCAACCAGTTTATTCTGTCCTGTTTGGTAATTCGGCTCAAGAACTTGTTATCAGGTGTTTCACTGCAGCAGCCCTGAAGCTATGCCTTAAAAAACCACAGGACACAGCTGTCTGTAAGGCTGTCTACCTGCACGAATTTCAATTCCAGGCTTCGCATAGAATGCAGAAATATCTATGTACTGAATATACATAAATACAGGCAGAATTATATGTTTGTCATCGACAATGGAAAAACAAGCATTTTCAAAACATTATACTGACAATATTTCAAACTACATGTGTAATTGAATTAGGAAACTACACATCTGAGAATACAGATAATTCGTCGTTTACTTTGCACTGTTTTTATTATTGCTGTAAAGTGTTCTTGCAATAGCTGTCTATTACTATCATACACATGGGCAGCTTTAAACTTTGCTTAAGATTTTGCATTCAGTGTACAACATAGCAGCTAAAACATTTGCGTACCAAAGCAGAAAGGAAGAGAAAGACCTAGCAGTCCCTGGAGCAGGAGGGTAATTTGCAATAGCATCAGGAAATAAATGTTGTTGATGCAGGGTCTTCAGTACATACACTCTTGAAATTGAAAGGGAGGTGCCCGTGTCTCTCACTATATAAGCTGAAACTACATGAAAAGGGCTGTGAGCCAGCACTGCCAGGTGCACTTCATCAATGCTCAGCTACAGATGAAAACAATGCAGGGGCCGCATTCCTCTGGGATCAGAAATCAGCACATTCCCGATTTGTCTGATGGGCTCCTTGAGAACAAGACTTCCTTTCATTCCTTTTCTACCTGACCTGTGTGACCACCTCACAGAGCCAGAAAGGACTTGATCTCAATGTCCGATCTTCAGCTCCAGTATACTTTACCCCACATCACATTAGCACATTAGCTCTTGAAAGAAAAGGTAAAAGGAGAGTGTGTGTATAGAAATGCCTGTTTTAGGTAATTTGTGATATTATTCCTTGAAAATGCTTGAATTGCTAACAGAAATACAACTGGGTGAATGTGACTACATTGCTTTCTCCTTTGTTTAGCTGCTCTGTTTTACAGAGGATGTGGTTGAGTTAAAATAAGATGCTGCTGGTGACGTTTGCAGATAAGTCACATTATGCAGAAAAGGTTTCATCCCTTGTGAAACGAGTCCATGACGTTTATTTCATGAGTTAGGGTTTCTGACAGAATATGCATATTAGGAGCAGAAGTTACCCTTCTGTATTTGGAGAACATGACTAATGTGACCATACAAGGGGTTGGGTGTGTGCTGCAGGATGAGCTACTTGTATCTGCCTAAAGAAATGCTGCACTAATAGTCTCAGCTCAGGACCCTTTTAGTAAGTCTGCCACCTCTTTATTACCTGTGCTGGTGAAAGAATCATCACGAAACAAACATACAGCTGCCAGTCAGACGCAGTGCTCGAGAGTTACCTTGATTCAAAATAAAATGTCCCTATGACTCATTATTTATTTTCTTATGGACTGATTCCCTTTTGCAGTATAACACTTGCTATAATTAGTCAGTGGCTGTTGTTAGAGAAGGCGTGGGATTTTCTGAAAACGTTTATTGACCATGTTGGACATTTGACCACTGGGGGCTCCGACTAGGACTGTCACTGGGCTGACGTTTGACAACAGTATAAACCAAATATCTGTACAAAACAATATACATTCCCACTTACATCAATTAGCATAGTATACCGGAAATCGAATACTTGAATTATTTAGGAACTTAACAATGCTTTTTTGTTTTTGTTTCTGACAGCTTTCTACGAGAGGTTTCAAAAAGTCATGCAACTGTAATCAAAAGACTGGCATAATGGTAGGTAAACTATTTCTCTTGTATTACTTACATTCTTGTTATTAAGAGCAAGTACAACTTTAACACAGACAGCGTATGTTAAGGCCAGAAAGAGCAGTAAACATCCAAACTGTTTAAAAAAATAAAGAATGCTTTATAAGACACAAAAGCATAATTAAAAGTATTTGATTCAAAGCTCAATTGTTTCATCTGGTTTTCTTTACAGACTTGATTTCCAGTGCCATTGGTACCTCATATTCCAGCTAACCTTCAAAGCTCTCCATGTGTGTTTGATTTTCTAGAATGGACATAAGAGAAACCGGAGCTTCTCAGACAACCTGGTCCTGGAGGAGGCTGAGGAAGGAGGCATTGTTGTCGCAGACATCAAAGATGATTCACTTGCTGCAGCCCGTGGTCTCAAAGAGGGTAAATCAGCCACCCATCCATTTTCTAACCCCCTTATCCAAGTCAGGGTCATGAAGAAGCCAGAGCCTAGCTCAGCAAGAAATAGGCACAAGTCAGGATACACCCCAATATATCGCAGGGCAGACAGACACAGACGCACACACTCACACCAGGGCCAATTTTTCCAGAAGCCAATTAAGCTACCAATACATATTTGAACTGCAGGAGGAAACCAGAGCACCCACTGGAGACCCACACAAACAAGGAGAGCGTAGAAACCTTATATGAACAGCACCCCACTTCCGAAACTGAACCGAGCCCCGTGAGGTAGCAATGCTAACCACTGCACTACTGTATCACCCAAATCAGGTTATGTAACTCATTATTACATGTCAAATGATAACCCATTAGTAATAAGCAACCCTTTGAAATGTACCTATTTATTTCCCTTGCAATATAATATTTAAGGTAATTTTTTGATTATCGATTACATTAGAATATTACTTTTTAAAAAGATCTAAAATCATAGTTTATTGCACACAAATGTCCTTTTGTTAATCTATAAGAATTTAAGTATGTCTTTTTAATTTGTGATTTTTTTAACCTTCCTTTCTTAGGGGATGAAATTGTTGGTGCTACCATCTTCTTTGACAACTTGAAGAAGGACGATGTGGTTAAGTTATTGAAAATGACTGAGCCTTACAATGCAAACATGAAAGTCCATACAAAACATGGTCAAAATGCTCCCAACAACATCTTTGGAATACCTGGCTTCAGCCCTTCAAATACAGTAAGTGCTGTTACATGTCATATACACTGTATTTTAATATTTCAAGTGTTTGCACTTGTCTGTTTGTTTACATGTTCTGTCTTTTCTTTCTAGGGGCCTGTGGATGTTGGCTATAACAAACTATTCAACAGTAAGATAAAAAAATACCTCAGACCTCAACAGTCTCTTGATGGAAGCTTAACACTACCAGGTACAAGAGTTAATGGCATCAATACACGACTGAACAAAAAACTGAAGAATACTGGAACAAATGTGTCATTGCCAAATCTGAGTGATCCTGATGTTTTGAATCTTCAGGGACCAAACTTAAAGGGAGGCATCAAAGATCCAGCTTCAACATACAAATGGCCCAGTATGAACATTACCAGTCCAAACACTCAAATACAGGGACCAGACCTGGACATTGATGCAGGCATGAAGACACCAAAGTTGAACCTTTCATCTCCGACGTTCAAGGGAGGAATCAATACACCTGACTCAGATATTAATTTACCCAAAGCTGATCTTAAAGGTCCAGATCTTGACTTAAA